GTAGGACTAGACACCTTTGTGAGAGACACACCACTTATCCACCTAAAACCTTAATGTGATAGGTGAGTACGTTCTCCCACTTATATATGCTTAAGTCTCTACATTCCTATCCAATGTGGGACTATTTCCCCACTTACTTGTGAGTCCATAATGCTCCCCCACTTGTACCTCCTTTGACATCTTGCAACGAAACACCACTTACTGGGCGCTTTTCGATACAAGTATCTTCTGGTACCTTTCTCGAACCAAAGGCTCTGATACCATGTTGGAGGGAGATATTAGGAGCATTGATACATAGTGTAGAAATAAGCACATTTGCGAGAGACACACCACTTAGCCACCTAAAACCTTAAGGTGATAGGTGAGTGGGTTATCCGTCTCCACATTCTTATCCAATGTGGGACTATTTCTCCACTTACTCACACTTGCTATATTATTCCAACATTGATGAGTTGTTGTGTTGTTCGTTACTAACAATTGATTTTCGTATAGTGGTGAGAGAGAAGCCACACATCACCATGTACATAGTGGTGGTGGCGGTGGTTGGGCCATGCCTCCGCCCTTACTCAGGGCCGGCCCAACACATCTTGAGACCTGAGACAAAAAAATTATTTAAATATTTTAATATAATAAAAATATTTTTATTTTAGAATAATGTATTTTAATTATAGGTTTTTTAGAATGTAAAATCATTAAATTATTTCAATTAATTTTATTAAATATTTTATTTTCAATTGATTATAAAACCGACACATCTAAACACTTTGCCCATCATTTAAAAATATCATAACTGGAAAAATATTTAAAAAGAAACTTAATTTTTAAGTATTTTTTATGTAAGAGAACTTAAAAGTTTATTATTTATAAGTAAGGTTTTAAACACGCTTGTCTTTGAATGTGTGCAAGAGAGTTTATCACATAAGGCCAAAAAATGTTTACGATTAAGTTATGGCTAAAAAAATCTAAACAAATATTTATTATATTTTACGATAATAAAATAGGACGCTTATTTATTTTCTGCAGTTAAACCACGGTAAACCTATACAAGCCTTCTCCAAATTTTAAGATTATGTGACTTTTTAAATTAAACAATTATTATATGATATATATCCTAAATAGTTGTTATTATTGTTGGAAGTAATTCATATTTAGAAGATGTTGTTATTCAAAAGCAGTAGAGCTTCTGAGGTTGTTAGCCAGAAGTTGTAAGCTTCTGAGACTGCTTAGTTAGAAGCAGTAGTTTGATGTAATCGTAAGTTGTTATTAATTAGAAGCAGAAGCTTCTAAGGTTACACCCAAAAATATGCTTAGCTTCCGGGATTATGGAGTTGAGTTTGTTAGTGTAGTTGTTAAGTTTAATATTTCCTAATTTGTACCTTTTAACTTAGTCATTAAGTTTACCTTTTATTAGGGCCTACGTGACAGTTTACTTTTTATATAAATAGACTAGTAGTAGCAATCATTTGTATAATTCTGTTTGCAAGCTTTATAGTCGTCATTGCAGTAAATATATTTTTTCTTACCTTTCCTTCATTTATTAACCTTGTGCACCAACAAATTGGCATCTAGAGCTCTGGTTGGATTCACGGGAAACACGAGTGAAACGGTGAGGCGTTGTGTGATTGATTTTGGTTCTTGAATTCGTGTTTAATCTTGAACAAAATCTGAACAGAATTACATTTTCTAATTATTTAGGATTGGGAAACACTGTGTTGTGAGATCTGAGTGTTCTTTACAAGGTTGAAGATGATTGGAAATTGTCGTCTAAGCACCAAACTTCTAGTATTTAATGGCAAAAACTGGAATTGTTGAATGATTCAGATGCGTGTGTTGTTTGGCACTCAGGATGTTCTTGAGCTTGTTACAAATGGTTATGTTCCAGTTGCAGCAGATGCGACGGAGGAACAGAGAAATGCACAGAGAGATACAAGGAAGAAAGATCAGAAGGCATTTTTCTTCATCTATCAGTGTGTGGATGAGAACGTGTTTGAGAAAATCATTGATTAGACGATGGCGAAGGTTGCGTGGGACACACTGAGTAGGTGTTACGGTGGTGACACATCAGTAAAGAAGGTGAAGCTTCAGTCTCTCAGAAAGCAGTATGAAAATCTCAACATGAAGGAAAACAAGACGGTTTCTGAGTACATCTCTAGAGTGATTCTGATCACTAATGAAATGAAAGCTTGTGGAGAAATCCTTTCTGAACAAGTAATCATTGAGAAGATATTGAGGTCACTTATTCCTCAATTTTATTACATTGTTGTAGCAATTGAACATTCTAAAGATCTGAAAACCATGAGAATAGAAGAGCTGCAAAGCAGTCTATAAGTGCATGAGTTGCGTCTGACTAAAAGAACTTCCGAGAGGGAGGTTGAGCAGGCTCTGAAAGCTTAGTTTGTCAAGAAGGACCAAAAGCAGAGAAAACATGGTAGGTCTCAGAAGTTAGAAGTCTTTTATTCTGATGAAAAGAAACAACAGAAGAGAAAGGAGAAGTATGACAAGAGAATGGTTCAATGTTACTGTTGTAATAGGTTTGACCATTTTGCTAAAGATTGTTGGTCAAACAAAGAAGAAGCAAAAATATCCAGAGGAGATTCTGATGATGAACCTGTGCTATTGATGACTTATGAATCTGATGAGGAACCTGTGAGATTGTCATTTTCTGATTCTGAAGGAAAAGAAGATGGCTCTGAATATTCTGACTCTGAAGGAGTGTTTGAATATGAGTTAGAATTAGAAAATGATGTTGAAGATTCTGAAGATGAGTCAGAGTTAGAAGATGACTATGAAGCTGAAGACAAGTCATAAACCGAAGGTGATTCTGAGTCTGAAGAAGAATCAGAAGATGAGTTAGAATTTGAAGAAGATTCTACTTCTAAAGAAGAGTCAGAACTTGAAAGTTATGAAGAAGAGTTAGATTCAGAAGATGAATAATATTCTGGAGACTCTGAAGGTGAGTCAGATGGTAAATATGATTCTGGTCTAGATTTTGAATGATGATTCAGAATATGGTGGTGATCATGCTTCTAGAAGGGAAAATTCTAAAGATGTAGGTTCTAGAGGACAAGCTTCTGGAGATGATCATGTTTTTAGTGGTAATCATGACTCTGAAGGCGGACCTTCTGAAGGAGGAGCTTCTGAAGGTAGTTCAACCTCTGACGGTGATCATGATTCTGAAAGTGGAACTACTGAAGGCAGAGTTTCTGAAGACGATCCAATTTCTGAAGGTGGTATTTCTGAAGGTAGTGGTTCTGAACAAAGCCCAAAAGCTAACAAAGGTGAAGCTTCTGGTGGTAGTCGAACTTCTGTTACAAAATCAGAAGGAGATTCTGAACAAGTCCAGAGGCCACAAATAAACAAGACTTGAGAGTTAACTGAGCTTCCAAAGGAGAAGAAGGCCATCAGCGTCAGATGCGTTTTCAAAGAGAAATTTGCATTTCTAAATAGAGTATTAGAAATTGCACACTGTAACAACCAGAAGCAACTTGCAGATGTTCTGACGAAGGATGTCAAGACTGAACATTTTATCCGATTGAGGGATGGAATTGGTATTGAAGAGTTTTGGTTAGCTGAATATGAATTAAGGGATGACGTTGAAAGTAATTCATATTCAGAAGATGTTGTTATTCAGAAGCAGTAGAGCTTCTGAGGTTGTTAGCCAGAAGTTGTAAGCTTTTGAGACTGCTTAGTTAGTTTAATGTAACCAAAAATTGTTATTAATCATAAGCAGAAGCTTCTGAAGTTACGCCCAAAAGTATGCTTAGCTTTTGGAGTTCTGGAGTTGAGTTTGTTAGCATAACTGTTAAGTTTAGTATTTCCTAGTTTATACCTTTTAACTTAGTCATTAAGTTTACCTATTATTATGGCATACGTGACAGTTTATTTTTTGTATAAATAAACTAGTAGTAGCAATCATTTGTATCATTCATTTTGTAAGCTTTATAGTCGTCATTGCAGTAAATATATTCTCTTATTTTTCCTTCATTTATTAACCATGTGCACCAACAATTATTATAAATTCTTAATATATGCTATAATTTAAAATAATTTATTAAAAAAATGTCTATTAAATGAAATCATATAAATATATATAAAAAGTGAGGCCCTAGGCGGTAGCCTTGGTGGTCTACCCCTAGGGCCGGCCCTGCCCAGCCCTTGCTTGAATCAATAATATCATTTGCTTTGCACGAAATTATATTTCATTGTTAGTATATTCTTTATTGGTACAATATCAGCCCATTTGGAAAGCATAGATTAATACGTGGATTTTTCTGTTTATACCAATAATAATTTTTAAAAACTTTTTACTTTCTCTAAATTTCACTCAGTTTTACACTTTTACCTTTGAATTTTTTTTCCTTTTTTTAAAATTATATTGAAAATACAAACTATTATACTATTGTTAATTTTTTAAATAAAAAATACAATCAATATAAAATTAAGTTTTGAAAATTCATCAATAAAAGTTCAATAAAACTTACCATCTAGTAATTAACATAAAATTAAATCACTTTACCAGAATAGGCATTGTACCAGGCCAAAGCACATAATTAAATCTGACCAAATAATTCTAACCAAATTCATCAAAGGGATAGGTTGAATCAATGAAACAGGGTGAAATTCTAACAACTAACACACATTCAGACATGTTCATATTTTAAAAAAAGTACATACAAATTTGATCAAAATTATAAATTGCCCTTGATTTTAAAAAAAATTCCAACCTCATGAACACAAGATCCTACAAACTTTTTAAACAAAAGCAAAAACAGATCAACAAGCAAAATCAGCCAAGGAAGCATGAAGAGAAGTGTTTTTCACTGCAAACAACCCTTCTGAAACTTTGCATGAGAGTCAAGTTACTAAAACGATTGCATAATTCTATACCAAGTATTTCCTATATATACACAATTCAAAATGGCACCTAAACCACAACATCCACACAGAAAACCAACATTTTGATAACATCATCCATTGATTGACACAACAGAAGAACAAAGATGGCCTCAACTCAACCCATAGTCCTAGTAGTTGTGGTTGTCTGTGCTGGAGGCCTTGTCATTCTTTCTTTGCTTACTTTTGCACTATTCTACTTCTTTAAGAGGAATGAGAAGACACAAGAAACCGACATCATACATATCGATGAGCATAAAAAGGGTAAGGAAACCATTACTCCTGGTCCTTTTGGAAAACAAGCAGTAGCTATATCAGTTGAAGATGATGTACATGTAGATGAAACAAGGAAGAATGAGAAACTCGGTCATGGTTTGCAAGCCAGATCATCCTCAGATATCATACGTATCGATGAGCATAAAAAGGGCAACCAAACCATTGTTCCTGGTCCTTTTGGACAACAAGCAGTAGTTATATCAGTTGAAGATGATTTGCATGTAAATGAAGCAAGGAAGAGTGAGAAACATGGTCATGGTTTACATGCCAAACCATCCTCAGCTGAAGCAAACCATCAAAATTCTAACAGCCAATAGGTCAGAACTTCCCATGGCCATCACCACCAGCTTGATAACAAATCCTGATTGGAAGAATTGTGTAAATTCTCATAGAAACTACTATCCTCCTACATGGACTCCTAAGAAATATGCCAATTCAACTTAAAAAATTCAATGAATAAACAATACACATTCTTCATTTTTCTTTTTTTTTTCTTTTGCGTGATAAACTCATCATTTGTTGAATCTCCTTCTACCAAGTTGTTGAAAATAAGCTTGAATCTCCTTCACGGTATTTGATGCTCTGTGTATACAATCAATCTGACACAAATAAACAATCCTCAATTTATATTACAAATTACAAGCTTTCACTAGCTTTAGCTTAAATATATTCAAAGCTTGACCAGCACATCATAGATAATCATACCATGTGTCCTTGACACTGATCCAAAACTCATATCATTCATTTGAAACTAAAAATATATACAACCAATCTGAATTTAGTTGATACACAAAGCTATCAGCATGAAAGTATTGAAACTTGGTAAAAGGATGCATAACATGTCATCCTAAGAACACGGCAGAAAATGAAATACAATAAAACAGACCCCCAATACATATATAGCAAATTTCCTAACCATGACAACAATCACAGAGCTGTAAAAAAATGGAAATGGATGCCCTGAAAGGACAATAACACAGTGGCAGATCAATTAAAAGTCAATTTGTTTACATTTAAAGGCCGATTTGTTGAGTTTAAATCCAAGTTATCCAATCTTCATCCAAAGGACAATATCAAAGGACCGTGAGACTGCATGATCTACACGGGTGCAGGGAATTTGGGTATGCAAAACACACTATATTTGAGTCCCACACAAAGCCATCCAAAATTTAATAGGTGCTAACCAAGCAGGAAACAAATGACAGTATAGAAATAGCATCAATTTGACATAAATAAACAGTCCTCAATTATTTGCCAAAAACACATTTTCATTTCTTGCTTTCATTTAAAAATAACCAAAGCATGGCATACATCATAAATAATCATGCCATTATTGTCTTTGAAAGAAATCCAAAACTCATATCATCCATTTGAAGCCATGTATACCATCAATCTAACATAAATAAACAATCCCCAGATTATTCGCTAATGAACTATCTTTCAGCTCTTGCTTTTATTTTAAATATAACCAAAGCTTGACCTACAATATAAATAAGTGTGCCATTATTGTCCTTGAAGGCTTGAAAGCAAACCAAAAGCTCATAATCCTTGGACGAAGGGGAATGTGTTTACGTAATTAAATAACACGGTGAAAGATTAGTTCTCACCAAATCAAGCTAAGGGCTAAATAATGCAGTGTCATATTGTATTTCCATAGAAGCCATGTCCAGTTATATCACGTGATTTATCAGGCAGGGAAACAATATCCAGAGAAACAGATAACTGCACAATGCTTGACCACATTAGTTAAGAAAAAACCGTTCTAGAGAAAAGTATCATATAGGAAGTTATCAGCTCACCAAACAACCCAATCTTTACTTAAATGATAGCGACAATGATAGTAAGTGAACTTAGTACTAAATGCATCAGGCGGTGAAACTACATTAACGCAAAGGCACCAAATTCATGATTAAATACCACAAAACACCAAATTTATATACCCGCCTAAGAAACTTCCTCCGCGATACAAAAAATAATTGAACATCCAAGATTTTTTCTTCAATGTAGGTTTTTACTCCATAGTTATTTATTATTCCAAGTAAATTAACATCCCCTTTCTATAACTAATGTATCAAATATTTGTTGGCTACCATTTAACTACTGCTATTTTTATAACTTAGAAAAGCAACTTCACTACTTTCATGGCATTCCCCACCAACTCCTTTCTTGTATAAATAATGTTTTACAGCAGCAACAAGCTTTTTGACTATGCCATTTTGTTAAATATGTTTTTAACTGCAACAATTTGAGAAAAAACAAACCATAAGATTTTCAACAAATCAAAGAAAAGAAGTGACTACTAACTAGTCTGACATATTCGAACACATAAGCTAGTATCAGTCCTGCATACCTTCAACTCCGAGAATCTTGTCATCTATCTCCTCCACTAATTTACGCTTCCCAACATCAAAGTAGCGGTAAAACACAAAGTCAGCATTCTGTACTGCTTCATCTGATGGTTGTGGATTCCTGGCGTCCTTAGAAATGCAAACAAGATTGCATTTCCCTGCAATAGACTCCTGATACACGATACAAAAATAGCCAATTCAATTAGGGTTACAACTTGATGCTCTACTTCAGTCCAAACAAAGCAAAATTGAATAACTTACTCAAAATAAAGAATAAATGTTTAGTTACAAAAGCAACACACAGGTTAGAGAGATCAACATAACCACACAAGCAGCTTTTACCAGGCTAACAAGGAGCTACCAACACACTCTAACAATCTCTTTCCAACACTAACCATATAGTTGAGTAAAATCCACATGAATTCCACTATCTGTATTCTTGGTTTATCTTTTGGAAGAGTCAAAAGCAATTTTAGGAGTGAAGAATTGATTCTAGAATGATTTTAAGGTGTTTGATTCTTCTAAAGTAAAATTAATTCTGCCTTTAGAATTAATTCTACTTGAAGTTACAATTTGTAGCTTTTGAGTTTAAACGCGATTTTTACACTTTCTACAAAATCAATTCTCGCCGCAAAAACAAACATACACTATGTGTATATTTAGTTTATCTTTTGGAAGAGTCAAAGTCAATTCTAGAGGTGTAAAATTGATTCTAGAATGATCTTGAGGTGTTTGGTTCTTCTAAAGTAGAATTGATTATGCCTCCATAATTGATTCTTAATTTAAGCTAAAATTTATAGTTTTTGACTTTAAACGTTACTGTTCAACTCACTTCTACATAAATTTATCCAAACATAAATCACTTTACATACAAGTTACTTTTAGCTAAAATCAATCTTACAAAATCAATTCATTCAAAATCAATTCTTTTCTTGAAGCTAAAATTTGTAGTTTTTGAGTTTTAACTCACTTCTATGTAGATTTATCTAAACAAAAATCACTTTACATCTATGAAGCACAGTCACCCCCGAACTTGACTCCGACACTCACGGGACACCAGTAAAATTTTAAAAAAAAAATGAATAAATTAAAAGTAATCAGAAGTGTATGTGGCACGCCGGTGCAACATAACTTCCATTTTTACAAAATCAATTCTTTTCTCCGCAGAACCACGCTAATTCCACCTAACATGCATAAATCTAACACACATCTACTGTTACTCATTTCGCCCACATAAAATTTACTTACCCTAACAAGGAACACTAACAACAAATTTTAACAATCTCTAAAATTCACAACATTTCAACTAACCTCCTGAGTAAAATTCACAAACATGAATTCAACTAAATTGCAATAATCTAAGCTAAGAATTTGAATTACAGAATTGAATTACCAGAGGATTGATATTGGAAAGACCAATGCCATCGCCACAAGCTAAGAACACTTCATTGTAGTAAATCTGAATCCCAATCAAGAACTTGGAAATCTCGCGAGGACGAAAGAACCACTGAACCTTAACTTTCTTAGCTTTATCGCGACTAGGAGTTTCCCATATCTTGATGATTTTGCCAATGTGAGGTTCGGTGTGGGTTTCGTTTTGAAGATAAACGGTGTCGAAGAGAGCGTAATCATCGCCGTCGAAGGTGAATGATTCGTAGAACTGGGTGTCTCTTTTTTTCCCTCCTTTTCCTCGCTTTTTTCCCCATTTGAAATCTAGGGCTCCTTTGGGGGTACATTCGACATTGGCCATGGAAGAGTGAGAGTGGGGTGAAAGGAGAGTGGAATGAAATGAAGCCCTAACACCTAATGCTATCGATTTATATATTACGCCGGTGCAATTAACTGTTACGCACATTATTATTTTTAAAATAATAAGAAAGAAAAAAATAGAAAAAAAAAAAAAACAAAATTGTTTATACAAAATATTTTATTATTTTTATAAAAGATAATAAAATTATTTCAATATTTTATTTCGTATATAAAATTGATATGTATTTCAAATTTTCATATATTATATTAAATAGTTTAGTATCTTAAATTAAAAATTATTTTAAAATAAAAATATTAAATATATAAATAATTAAAAAACAAAACATTTATATCGTGTTTGAATTAATAAATTATTTTTATTTTTATTTTCTGTAATTGTACAAAAAAGTAATAAATTATGTGTTCGCATAAATTTTAGTATAATTACTCGTAAGTTCACACATTACTTGTGTGTTGCTTGTGTAAACGTCCGGGTACGGTTATGGTATGCAAAGTTGTGTACAAAAATTAATAAAAATAAAATAATAAAAAATAAAAATGTTTAATGAAGATTTTATTATTTTATAAAAAAATAATAAATCTATAATTATAGTAATTTAGTGTTTTAAAAAAATGATAACTTATAATTTCCTAAAAAAAATATATCTAGAGTGATGAACACAATTAATAAAATTCCTCTAATTTTAAAAAAGCCATGGTTTTTATCTATATATTTTGGTATCATATACAAGTTAATTGTGAGCACTAACCACTTTTTCATTAAAAAAACCTATTGATTTTATCTAACTTCTATGAAAAAATCACATCTGCTGAAAAAGATATGTGTTTTCGTAATGTATGTAGAACTATAGAAAGAGTAGTTGATGCTAGAAATTAAATGTGATTGATTAATGGAAATACTTCCACATTGATGAAAGTATAGCCTCTGCATAATTATTTTATTCTATACACGGAATTATATTTGACTTGATATCTAACGAACCAACTTGGATATCTATACATGGCATGCATAGCTTTAGGAACAATATACAAGTAAACTCCACAGTACACAGAAACAGCAACTTGGCGTATCATCTTCTTTAAAGAGGTAAATTGATCATGGTTCCTACAATTGTCATGGTTGGTTATTGGTCATGACCTTCGCTTACTGTTTTACATGCCTGAGATGATGAATTATATGTCAACTGACTGTTTCCTTATAAACAAGCTTCATATTAGCTAGTATCGACAGGAATACCACCAAGTGGAACAACAATCCTATGAGGCCATTGGAGCATATCAGTAACAATTGAGTTCACAGTATCCTATAAAATGGTGGGTAAGACTTAGAGTGGATTAAGATTATTAGTTCAAAATGAATATTAATTCAAAAGAGACCAGCTTATAGATTAGAACATACATCAATCATATCTGAAATTCCAGGAAGTGTCGTCAACTTCCACCAACAGCCTTCAGAGTGTAATCAATCCGAGGCTTCGGTTGAAGAAATGTTTATGGAAAAGTCAGTAATTCCAAGACTGATAATTAAACAATAGTGTATCAAGTAATGCAGAATTCAATTAGAATATTGCACAAACAAAACTGTAACCACCAAAATTCCCTCAACCAAGCTATAACTGCAGGTAGCCGTGAGACAGCATAAATTTTAATATAAAATCATATGAAATATGTTAGTTAAATTCTGTTTCACAAATTTAATTTTGATGTTGTCATAATCCTTGAATTTCAATACAGATTTTGATGCAAAACCATATATACTACCCCAAATTCCACTACGGTATAACACCGTTATAGCCGCAAAAAATTATTGTTTCTTGAAAGTGTTATAAACATGTAGAAAACTTACCACTTTATAGACTCATTAGCTTGACGACACTGATATACTAACATCTCTAATCAGAAAACATAAACAATACTTCAGGAGATGCATCTAATCAGGAGAACAACCAGCTGCCATACCTTTCTCAACTTCACCAGCTTTGAAAACACAATCCATGTAAGAAGAATTAAGAAGCACCAGATCAGGAGAACAACCCATTGTCATGCATCTAATCAATTCCAACACAATGACAAGTCAAAAGCAATGCATCGTATATTTGACAAACAGCCAGCCGTTGAAACAAATAGTCGTGAAAACATATAACAAACAAAGAACAAAATTAAGATTTTCGAAATGTCACCTCAAATGAATCTGAAGTGTCTGCACCTATCACTTCACCACTTCGATATGCTGCCAAAGACACAATCTGTCTTGAAGAAGGAGTCGTAAATATCCTAAAATTTTGATAATGTATTAAATCACATGCAGGAACAGTTTCGTCAAGAGAAACACTGAGTAGGAAATTGTTATTTGCCATAAAATGCAGAACTGTAACAACATTAATGTGCTCATAAAACGAAACAAAGCAAAAGCCATAGGAAACAGTCCAAACCTGTAGCAGATAAGTGTAAAATCACCTATTGATTTGGCTTCTTCAAATAAAATGTATGTTTCATCAAGCCTGTCAATTTTAGCTAGTTCATCAGCAATAGAACCATAAGTTACAACAGTGGGTTGTAGACCAAACATGTCACTAAAATTATTTTCAACCATTAAAATCGTTGATGGTAAAGCACAATATTCAAAATGTCACATTCATACGAAACTTGACACACATTCCAAAGATAAATGAAAGAATCGTTAACACAGAAAATACAAAACAACAAAAACCATTATGTAGCACAAATGTCCAAAGTTTCTGAAGGTCCAAGCTACAAGACTGACATGAACTCCACATTCACATTGATAATTAGAATTAGAACATCACAAACATGAATATTAGTTGATAGTTTAGTTATTAAATATTAAGATAAAATCATTATTTTGAAGCATTTTCATAGATCCAACTCTATAAATGAAGATAAAATAATTATTTTGAAGCATTTTCATAGATCCAACTCTATAAATGAGATAATGTATATACTGTCAAAACAGAACCATACCTATACTTCGACATGGTAACAATTTCCCTTTTAGGATGAACCCATAACGTAAATAGATCAAAGATCACATTCAGCTCTGCATGACAAAAGAGTTACAATCATATTATTATAGTGAAGATTGTAGAAAAGAGAATCCAGGTTGATAACCTATTTATATAACATAAATTAGAGATCTCAGAACACAAAAAAAAAATTAGAAACTTTCCAAGATCTTAAAATCCCCATCTCGTTCTCCATATCCAAACAAAACACAAGAACAACAAACAACCAAAATCACGAGATCCAATCAAAGAGAGTAATAAAATAAAACTCACAAATGGTGGAGGGTTGTCGGAGGTGTGTTCACGACGGTTTTGCAAGATCCGTGAATCATGTGGTGGTTGCACCTTTGCGGGTGGACGATGGTGCATCAAGGTTACGAGCGGTACAATTGGAGCAGCTGTGCGCGTGGGTGTTCAGCGGCGTTTTTCAGGGGAAGCATTTGTTTTATTTTTTGAAAAGGAAGAGAGAGAGAAGAAAAAGAGGGAGACGAGAAAAGAGAGGGAGAAAGTGAAGGGATGTTGTTTTGATTGGGCAAATGCATATTCTGTATCAGAAAAGCAGAAGACCCATAGCAGCGGGAAGCAGTTCAAATTAAATATTTGGTTCCATGGGAGAATTTTTTTTAACAACAACCATGTATTAAAAAAATTCACAAATAACCGCGTTTCGGAAAAAATTACGTAAATAATCATGTTTCAGATGACTCCACAAAGGAGGAGTCATCTGAATTGGCGCCTCCACCCCTACTTTTGTCCTAGGCGCCATCTCACTTGTCGCCTCCTTTCACTTTTAGCCAAGTGAGATGGCGCATGCTCCTTAAAAGTGAGAGGAAGCGTCATCTCACTTGGCTCCTAGGGCAAAATGCTGTTTTATAAATAATTCGTCTGTTTCTATGAAATTTCGCACACTTTCTCGCACTGTATTTTTATTTTTTACTTTGTTATTTGCGTCATGACGTCGCCTATGATTTTTAGTAGAGATGGTTACGTTATCTTCTCCGCCACGAAACCTGCGATGAAAATGAAATTCTGGCACATTCACTCCATGGAGCGTCTGAAGCGGGAGTTGATGCGATGGCTAGATGGAGACATTGGGGAGGGGGGGAAATTCGAAGGATCCAGCGAAAATGAACAACAACCTCACATGCGACAGGGAGACCTAATGTATGGTTGGAGGAAGTCAAAACAGACAGCGATGTAATGTTGATGATGCATGGGTCAGATGAAATTGTGTTAACAGTTGTAATTTCGTAGACGTAATATCGTTAATTTTTCTTGTACGCGCAATATTTATTGTAGCAAAATCTGTTAACGAAAAACCCTAATGTTTACAACATAATTAAGGAAAGATTTTATGTATTACAATTTTTATGTGGTCGAGGCAGACGCCCGATTCGGACAATTTTTGCGATTGTGTCTGACCTGACGGCATAAACCACACTTTCTTTCCAACTTGTCAAGATCGTCCATTTCTGTTGTGATGCGCTTACTTTTGGGACGACCCTTCTTGTTCCTTCGCATTTGGTCATTGTGCCACACTATTTCACCGTCGTATGCAGGCAAATAATCTGGTTTTGCTACCAAAGGAAAGTTGTTGTTGTAAACGTTGAGCAACGTTTCAGATTTGTAAATGTTTGACAGAAGTTGCAGCGTGTTTACCTGGGTATTTGGTAAACAACCGCTGATCCTCCAAATGGTTACTTATTTGGTTACTCGCAGGATCGATCAGATTGATCCTAGGACATAGGTTGATTTTGAAGTTTGATTAAATTGGATATTGGTTAGATGACAATAAAATAAAGAGGCTTTAAGTAAATTGCATGAAGAAAGGACTTGGTAAAGTAAATAAGGCTTTAAATGAAAGGGTTCGACAGGAAAGTAAAGAGGAAAGCAAGTAAATTTCTGGAAAAGTAAATGACTTTGATTAATAAAGTTGGTGTTTCACACATACATTTCTCAACAATTCTTTCTCACACGCTGGGTACTCGAATCTATATGAGTGACTTTGTATAGAATTGTGAACACACGCGAGAAACTACATGACTACTACTATTTATACTAAAACATCCCAAGTAACCGTCGGGCAGTTACACTGCTTCGAGATGATTCCACTTGGCACGTTCTCAACGTTCGACGCTCCAGATCTTCACACGTCACACTTGGTAACCGCTGGAAACCGTTTTCCCTCCAAACGCTTGAATTTCAAACTGCTCCACTCTGAACCATCGAACACCTTCGTCGAGAAGCATCTTCGACGAGAAACTCATTTGACGTCGAAGGCAACCAACTTCTCCCTTGGAAGAAATCTTTTAAGTACCTTGCCATCCTTCGATGGGCATTTCGACGGACTTAGCTAGTCGAAAACATCCTTCAGCTTTAATGGCTGACATTAATAAAACAAGGGTGTCGAATTTAGGAGCCAACACAGCGCGTCTTGATGGGTATGACATGAGAGCAAGGCATACGAAATGCTTGAAACCTGCCACAATCGCACCAACGAGAAGGTAGCATGACCCTATATTCTTGTCTTGGCAGGCCTTCGTTGTGGTCGATTGTCTCTTTCACTATGAAGTTGTGGCTGTGTCTGTCAAACCGTATAACCATATGAGTGTTGGCTTTAGCACTTTCAGCCTTAATGTATTTCATGCAGCTATCACTCCATAGTTGTCCAGATTGCAACACCGCATTCCATATTTCACCTCTTTTGGCAAATAACGCAGTCATCCTAAAATACGTAGATTTTACCAAAGCAGTGATCGGGAGGTTTCGTATGCCTTTGAATACCTCATTCATTGATTCAATAAGATTCGTTGTCATATGCCCCATCTTTGGCCATTGTCGTATGACCTAGTCCATTTTTCCACCGGAATATTGTCTATCCACCTATCGGCTTCCGGATTTGACAAACAGATCTCGTTGCGGTAATATTTGAATGTGGGTTGTGTCAATGCATATCCCGCATTCATAACTGCTTTCCTTAATGTTTTGTCCTTGATCTCCCTCATGAAATTCTGGACGATATGCCTAACGCAGTAGACATGCGTAGAAGGAGGGTCATGCCAACCGTTTGCAGGATTATTGTAGGTACTTTCAATGGAGGCATGTCTGTCCGAGATCAAACAGAGATCTGGTTGAGGAGCCACGTGTGTCCGTAAATTTTTCTGAAAAAAGCTCCAAGCACCACCGGTCTCCCCCTCGACCAGGGCAAAGGCAATGGGGAAAATGTTGTTGTTGCCATCTTGCGCAACTGCCATCAGTAGCGTGCCTTTGTACTTCCCATACAACCAAGTCCCATCAATTTTTAAATTTTTAAATTTGTTCTATTTGAACTATTACTATTACTTTTCCGAAACGCGGTTATTTGCGATTTTTTTTTAATACATGGTTATTCAAAAAAAAAATCTCCATGGAAAGGAAAATTTTCAAATGAAAGTCTAACGGATAAATCAGAAGAAGTAATAGTGCAAATAGGACAAATTTAAAAATTGGTTACAAAAAGTAATTTTTAGTAAAGGGTAAATTGGAGTTTTTCAGGTACATTATATATATATATATATATATATATATATATATATATATATATATATATATATATATATATATATATATATATATATATATATATATGTGTGTGTGTGTGTGTGTGTGTGGCTAAATCCACACCATGCTTCAATGTTAGTCTATCCTTGCCTGTTAATTTATCATGCATACGAAAATCATACTAGTCATGCAGATTAATCTAATGTCTGACCGTGATTTAAATTTCAGTTCTCGCTTTTAGTTTTCAACTGTTATCCATGCTTCATTCTTCGCTTTCAATTGCCAATCGTTTCTCTTATTTAGGAAGGAAAATACACAATTTCTTAGATATTCAATTCCATTATTATTCATACATCTTTTTTCACTCTCATACTGATTTGAGCGTTGGAGTGCTAATCTTATAGATCAAATTAGTATGAGAGTAAAAAAAGATGTATGAGTAATAATGGAATTGAATACCTGAGAAATTGTGTGTTTTCCTTCCTAAATAGGAGAAACAATTGGCAATTGGGAGCGAAGAATAAGACGTGGATCACGATTGAAAACTAAAAGCGAGAAGTGGAATGTGGATCGCGTTCATACATTAGATTAATCTGCACGGTCAGTACGATTTCCATATGCATGATGGATTAACAGGCAAGGGCGGACTAACATTGAGGCATGGGGTGGCTTTATCCACACAAGATTTTTCATATATATATATATATATATATATATATATATACACTAAAATTTTGGCACTTACAATACATAAGTCAAGACTGATGTTCCAACACCAAAAACACAATGTCAAGATAGATGTTAAGACATCATCTGCTGACAGAATAATTTTACCAAAACAGAAATTATGCAGAATTAAATTGCAGAAGATAAAAGACACAATCAATTGTTAACCCAATTCAGTGCAACATCACCTACTCTGGGAGCTACCAAGCTAAGAAGTAAATTCACTATAATAGTATTAGTTCAAAGTTAAACAATCCTAGTTTACAACTTATCTCCTAATCACTACCTTGTGCAACTTTTACCTAGAAACCTTCTAGATATGAGATCCTCCTCTCACTTCTCACAATCACCTCAGTGATAAAACCAGTCACAAATCACTGACAAAAATCAAAATAGAAGATTACACTTCCAATAAATAATACTCAACTCTTTACTTAAAATAGAATTTTGTATTTTCCATACCAAACTTTTTTACTATGTTATTGGTATACTTACTTTGAGAGATGAAGATAGAGTCATCCATCTGTTTTACTTGAAGTCCAAGAAAATATGTCAATTCACAAACAAGACTCATCTCAAATTCAGATTGCATTTGTTTGACAAAATATTCCACCATATGGTATGACATTCCTCCAAACACAATGTCATCAACATATATTTGAGCAATCATAAATTTGCCATCCTTCTCCTTGACAAACAAGGTCTTGTTTGTTCCTTATTTCCCATAGCCAGTGTTGATAATAAATTTTGTCAACCTTTCATACTAAGCTCTAGGAGCTTGCTTCAATCCATGGAGATCTTTCTTTAGCTTAAATACATGATTTGGATAAGTATTATCAATGAATCCCTTTGATTGTTCAACATAAACTTCTTCATGTAAGTACTCATTCAGAAAGATATTTTTCACTTATATTTGAAACAGTTTAAACTTCAATAAACAGACCACTCCTATTAATAGTCTGATGGATTAGAGTCTAGCAACTGGAGCAAAAGTCTCATTAAAATATATTCCTTCAATCTGAGCGTAGCCTCGTGCCACAATTCTGACCTTATTTCTGATGACAACTCCACTTTCATTAGTTTTGTTCTTATATACCCACCTTATACCAATGACATTTGTTCCACTAGGCCTAGGAAATAAGTCACAAACTTCATTCCTCTTGAACTTACTAAGTTCTTCTTGCATGACATTGATCTAGAATTCATCAGTTAAGGTTTCCTTTACATTTTTGGGTTCAATCTTAGA